CTAATTTTTTTTTATATTTACCTTTAAAGTTTTAATATTTTTCTTTATTTCATTACAAAGATAATTTAAGCATATTATAGTAGACATGAGTTTGTATCATATTGTTGCATGTGATCGCTCACGATACACATTTTCATATAATATTTCAACATTGTTCATATACTATCGTATCAAATATAATTAGTCTACTGTGCATATTCAACTCTAACTTTTTTTTTAAAACTTGAGTTAAATATATATCAAATTGCACTTTTTATAACAATGGAAACTTTAACTAAACGAAAGCTTCGTCTGAAAAGAGAATCTGCTGCATGACAATCTGCTAACCAGACTGATAAACAAAAAGAAAGACAAAAACGTTAATATAGAGAATCAAAAGTCTGAAATATTGTACAAGAAGCTAGCTCTACAACCTTTGCACTTCTTTTGCTTTCTTCATCACCAAATACTAACAATACTAATCATATTTTATCTAATTCTTCGTCTACTACTAATACTAATATTAATTGTCTTCCACCTATTATATTATAAGAACAATCTGTAGGTTTGCCTTTTCAGAATAATCCTCATTTCGATATTTTGCCTTCTCAAGATAATCCTCATCCTGATATTTTGCCTTCTCAAGATAATCTTCATCCCAATATTTTGCCTTCTCAAGATAATCCTTATCCCAATATTTTGCCTTCAACTAGCAGTGCTTTTATTTTTAATTTGAATGTAAGAAGTATTAATATGCTTAAGACGCATGTGTATCTTTTTAACTTAGCTAGACTAAATCATCATGATATTGAAAAAATGAATATTTCATATGGTTCATCAGTATGTTAAAATGGATAGATGAATGATGCTCAGAGTCATCAAAATGTTTGGCTAAATTTAGTAACTGCTACGCACAAAGAAAAGTTATATTACCATTACTTCAAGAACCACCACTATTGCTTAAAACTTATTTAATAGGCAATGATACACAATCACGTGAATTTCGTCAAAATATCTGGGTCTATAATTCCATGTTAGCTTTTATTTCTATGGGTGTAAAAATTGATAAATGAATTACTGGAACAAGAGATCCTTATACTTTTTGTATACATGGAGAAATATATCATAGGATTGAGTTTCTTCTTCCTCAATTATCTGTCCTTTTTTTTGCTTAGTTATACATTTATGATAGTAATAATGAGCTTTAAAATAGGCAGAATATTATGTCTTCGTTAAGTAAGATAACCTTAAATAATCTTCAAAATATGCTTCATGCTTATAATCCATATGTGCAAGTTTTTTAACCAACAGATAGAATATTATGGCAGAATCCTTTTCAAAGTTTAACTATGGTAATTAAAGATTCGAGGTTGACAGATCCATGTCTTTATAATATTTCTACTATTTCTGAAATTGCAGCTATTATAATTGATGATACAACTAACAATAATAGTATATGCAATCGAGATATTATATTACGTTCTCATACTAACAGATTTCAATGTATATCTGAGCTACACAGAGCTTATGCCTCATTACATTATATTCTTTTTTTTCCTAGAGGCAAAGATAGATGGTATCCGAAAATTCTAGTCTGTGATGCAACACAATCTTCTTTTTTATCCTCTAATGAACATCAAGCAATAGACAATATCGGTGATGAATTAAACAATGAATGCAACGTCAAGTTTCAAAAATATGTTACTATGATGCAATATTACACCTATCGACTACAAGTGGATAGACCTGGAGAAGGAACACATCTTTATCTTGCTGGACACCTATTTCAATAGTATATAGTTGATGCGTATGCAAATATAGAACAAAATCATCTTAATTATTTAAAATTCAATCAAAAACAAATTCGATCTGAACTTTATAGTAGAATTCAAGATTTTTTGTCATCACAAGATGAGTTATTACAATATTTAATAGCATCAAATATAGGCAGGCGAATAATTCTTCCTTCAAGTTTTACTGGTAGCCCACATTAAATATACTAATTATATCAAGATGCAATGGCTATTGTATATTCGTTTGGCAAATCTGATCTCTTTATTACTTTTACTTGCAACCTGACTTGGCCTGAAATTACTGCTAAACTTCTAAATAATCAAGCTGCATCCAATTGTTCAGACCTTACGGCTAGGGTTTTTAATATGAAGTTAAAAGCTTTATTAGATGATATTATCAAATATAGTATTTTTAGAGTTGTTGTAGCTTATGTTTATGTAATAGAATTTTAAAAACAGGGTCTTTCTCATTCACATATTCTTTTAATTTTAGATTTAGAAAGTAAACCGAAAACTGTTGAAGATTTTGACAATATTGTGTTAGCTGAATTTCCAGATCAAACTCTTCATCTGTTGGTTTATACAACTATTCAACGAAGTATGATGCATAGTCTTTGCAGTTCAACTTATTCTAATGCACCTTGTATGAAAAATTATAAATGCTCAAAAAGATATCCACATAGCTTCTGTACCTTAACAATTATGAATAATGATAGCTACTCTTTATATAAATGTTGTAATAATAGAAAAAAGGTAGTGGTTAAAGGAGCACATTTAGATAATCATTAGGTTGTACCCATAATCTATATCTAGTGACAAAATATGATGCTCATATTAATATTGAAATATGCTCTTTAATAATTGCTATTAAATATCTTTTTAAGTATGTTTATAAAGGCTATGATCGTGCAACAATTGAAGTAGGAAGACCTGACAATTTAGAAATATCTCAACAACCTAATGAGATTCATCATTATATTGATGCATATTATGTTTCAGCTTCCGAAGCTGCCTGGCATCTTTTTCATTATAAGTTACATAATAAAAAACCAGATATTATGCGACTTCAAGAACATCTTCTTGGAGAACACACAATTACTTTTCAGGATGATCAAACTGTAGCAGAAATAATTAATTGTGAAAGTAATTCTGTCACTACTTTAACAGCTTGGTTTAAAGCTAATCAAACTTATCTTTCTGCACATGAACTTACTTATAGAACTTTTTCTACTCGATAGGTTTACGATAAAATTTGCAAAGAATAGAAACCATGCCAAAGAGAAAATACTATTGGTCACATGTATTTTGTATATCCAAAAGCCAGAGAACATTATTATCTTCGTTTGCTACTAATATAGTTCGTGATGCTAGATCTTTTGACGACCTTAAATGAGTGAATAATGTAAATTATTCAATATTTAAAGAAGTATGCAATGCATTAGGTTTACTTCAGAACGATTCAGAGTGGGATGAATGTTTGAATGAGGCTGCACAACTAAACTCCTGAGCACAAATGTGTTATTTATTTGCTACTATTTTAATATTTTGTTATCCAACTAATCCAGAAGTACTTTGGGAAAAATATATCATGGCTTTTAGTAATGATATTTTATTTCAAGCCCGTATAGATGTAGAAAATGATTCTGTATATAAATTTACTGATACTGATATATATAATATAGTATTAATTTAATTAAAATCTATTTTGCTTAGAAATGGACTGTTGCTTTTTAATTTTCCAAACATGTCTATTCCATCTCCATTACCTAAAATGCAAGTTCACCAAAACTATTTAATTGCAAGAGAATTAAATATGATACTAACCTACTTACACGTAGAGCTGAAACTGCTTATTCTTGCTTAAATTTAGAACAACGTTCAGTATTTGATGTAGTAATTTTAGCTATAGAGACTCACCAATCTGCGTTATTCTTTGTTGATGGCCCTAGAGATTCAAGTAAGATGTTCCTGTATAGTACAATCTTAGACAAAATTATATCAACTGGACGTATAGCACTTGTAGTAGCTTCTTTAGGAATTGCTGCACTTTTATTAGACGGCGGCTGTACTGTGCATTCTCTTTTTAAAATTCTAATTGTATTATATCCCGACTCTACCTGTAATATTTCACATGGATCTGAGCATGCAGCACTTCTACAAGTAGCAAGTCTAATAATTTGAGATGAAGCTTTTATAGCAAATTGGTATATACCTGAAGCCATCGATCGTATTCTTAGAGATTTAGTGAAAGCTATAAATCCTAGTTTAGAAACTTTACCTTTCGGTAGTAAAGTCATTGTATTTGGAGAAGATTTTTGCCAAATACTTCCTGTAGTACCTAAAAGAACCAAAGAAGATATCATAGGATCCTGTTTGCTACGTTCTGCACTATAGCACCATATTTAACTAATAAAATTAACAATCAATATACACTTACGTCAAACTGAAAATTCACCAAATAATACTGAGTATCAAGATTTTGCTGAGTGGCTTCTAAAAATTGGAGAAGATCAGGTTAAATGATTTGTTAACTATGGCAATTATATTAAACTTCCAGATGATATTCATCTCTCATCTGAAAATCTACGTGATTTAATAGACTCTGTGTATGCGAATCTTACTATATACACACTAATTATTGTTATTTAATAAAATGTGGAATTCTTGCACCAAAAAATGCTGATGTTCTTTTACTTAACTCTGTAATTATAAATTTATTTCCAGGTGAAGAAGTTGAATATTTGAGTTCAAACAGTATTGATGAAACCAATACTAGCGAAAATCAAGAAAACCTTTACCCTGTCGAATTCTTAAATACGATTACTATAAGCGGTTTACCTTCACATAAACTAACACTAAAATTAGGTGCACCTGTTATGCTTCTTTGCAATATTAACCCTACAGAAGGTCTTTGTAATAGCACCCATTTAGTTTGTACCGCTTTTGGTAAACATGTCATAGAAGTTCAAATTATTACAAAAAAACATGCGAGCTATCGTACTTTTCTTCCTCAAATGAACTTAACACCTTCCAATTCAACTTTACCTTTTTTATTAAAGCGACGTCAATTCCCCATACAACCCGCTTTTGCTATGACTATTAATAAATCCCAAGGTCAAACACTTAACCACGTCAGAATTTATCTGCCAACCCCAGTATTCTCTCATGAACAACTATATGTCGCTTGCTCCAGAATGACTTCTAGGCAAAATCTTAAAATTTTAACACTAGGACAAGAATTCGAACATGAATATACTCAAAATATTGTATATCCAGAAGTATTACATTAGTAATCCATTTGTTTCCTTATTTTTATTTACTTTACTCTTTTTACATAATTCTTCTATATATTTATTCATTTATGTAAAATATTTCGATTATATTAATATCACTTTTAAATTCGTCGCATTAATTGTACCTTCGTTCTTAATATAACTATAATTAATAAATTTAATTTTTTTCTTTT